GTGGACTTGACACATTTTTTAAAACCATCAACATTGCCATAAAAAATAGGACTAGAAAATCTCAGAATCTTCACTCCTTCAGGCTCTTCAAGCTGTCACTTAAGAGGAGAATATAAGCAAAAACAAGAGAGAGAGAGAGAGAGAGAGAGAGAGAGAGAGAGAGAGAGAGAGAGAGAGAGTGTTAAATGAATCTGCACCTCAGATCCTCACCTGATGTTCTGCCTGTTGTGATGACGTGGTTACTCACAGGCGCTGGACAGCAGTACTGCTGGCTCCTGGCTCCTCTGAGATGGGGATGACGAGATAAGATGCCCAGAATCAGAGGCCATGGAATCAGTCAGAACCAGAATCAGGATCTCATAGGCTGAATCTCATTGGCTGCTGCTACCCATGTGAAGAAAAGTGTCTCTAAAGGCAATGTGACTGGTCTCCAGCCTCCAGTTTTCATTTTGCTGAACTTCTTTGGCATGGGGTGGGGTGGGGCTGACAAAAGGGATCTGGAGGTTGTGTTTCAGAAACTTTGCCCCACCGTGTTTTTTGTTTGTTTATACCCTAACCCAGAGTGGCCACTCCAAGAGTGAATCCCACACAACCAGAGTCTTCTGGTCTTAAGCAGTCACAGCCATATCAGTCTACCCCTTGCATATGGAACACCTTGGCCCTGGGGTTGAGTGACTTGGGCAAAGCTCTGTCAAGACAGAGCTTAGAATCTGGAGCTCCCAAACTAGAAGCTAGGTTTCCCTATTAAGCAGCAAAGCTCAACAGTGGCGCTGAGTGGTGCAGTTGCACCTCTTTACAGTCTGGTTTACAAACTAGATTCTTGCATGTGCTTCTGAGGGCACACTGCTCTGTTACTGTGGTATATTTTACATGGCCTCCTCATCTCCAACACCTGAACTAACTTTTCAGCTCTAGATGATAATTGGGTCAAAATTACAGAAAGGTTATGGAAATAAACTAAGTAACAACTACTAGAATTCCAGGTTGAATATACAGTAATCTTTTTTTTTTTTTTTTTTTTTTCTGGAGATAGGGTTTCTTTATGTAGTCCTAGCTATCCTGGAGCTCACTGTGTAGATTGGGCTGGCCCTGACTCAGAGATCCATCTGCCTCTGCTTCCAGAGTGCTGGGATTAAAGGCATGTACCACCATCCCTTGTCCTTATAGCAATGTTTTTTAATATTAAGGTAAAAATCAGACTATGACTTCCTAGAGTATTCATTATATATATAAAATTACATAACATATATCCATTTTATTCTTTCTTTCTTCTGGATTTTTTTGAGACAGGGTTTTTCTGTGTAGCCTTGGTTGCCCTGGAATTTGCTCTGTAGCTCTATATAGTAGGCTGGCCTCTAACTCTCTGCCTCCCAAGTGCTGGGATTAAAGGCACGCACCACCAACACCACTTGATTCACTTTTTTTAAAGGTAAATTTGCATTTTCTTAACTCCCTCTGCTCTTGCCTCTTTTTTTCTCCTAGTAGCCACTCACAGTTTTGTTTGCGAGCAGCATCTGACCATCATTGTAATGCATAGTTTCTTTGTTTTTCATTTCCTTGTTCATATATTATTTCTTCTAATTCCAATGATTTAAAAAAAAATCAAATAAAGCTTTGGCGATTGAGAGCTGTATAGATCTCTTGTAAAGCTGAGTAAAGAAATCTTACAGAGACTTCAGGCCATTTCATAAAGGCTATGGATTACAGACAGAAATATAACTTTTATTAAATGCCTGTTATATTTAATACCTCATGATTATCCCTCATTTTACACCAAAATAACATTCAACTAGTATGGTTAAAATTCCTGTAATCAATTTATAATGAAAGGCACATTGAATTGAAAGTTCTCAAGACACTCCCAGTGTGCTGATGAACTTTCCCAACAGACATCTTCATGGCTTGCATGCACTTAGCAGGCTAAAAGAGGAATCTGTTGACTCCTTGAATTCCAGCAAGCCCCCTGTGACAAGTGTCTCACAAAGGCACTTACATTTTTATAATGTATGATACTTTTATAGATGTCTGTGCTGGGGACACTTCCAAGGCCGGTCCATGATGGGCTGCAAGAAGGAAAATGAACATCAGGTGAGTTTTTTTTTTGTTGTTGTTGTTGTTTTTTTTTTGTTGTTGTTTTTTTGTTTTTTGTTTTTTTTAACAGTCACTTTTTCAACTAAAAAGTTAAAAATATGAAAGAGAACATCATTCTGGTATCTGGTGTTTTGGACTTTTGTCTTTATTGCTGATGACATTTTCCTGTATTTAACTCTGAAATGAACAGCTGGTGTTTGCGTGGAACTGGAGAAAGAGGAAGTAACTGTGAGCCTCTTCTGACGGCTGTGAGATAATGAGCACTTCCGCTTGCATAACAATTATAGGGAAAGCGGCAAGCTTTCTCACATGTAAATCATCTGGAAGCCTGACCATAACTATTAATGGCCAGAACTATTATCCTTATTTTTATTAGTTGGTAAAATGATGCTCAGAGGAGTTAGAGAAGCCACTGAGTATAGGACACACAGCCTTCATCTTTAACGTATGGGTCTGTGGCTCCTTCCACTTCTTTATGACTGATGGCAACCTCTTGATCGAGTACTGTGTCTGCAAGTGATCAGATTAGTCTCTTGTTTTAGAAACAGCAGCCTGGGAGAAAGGAGTCCTGCTCGCTAACCAGACCACTGAGTTCCTGTTCCTGGTGCAATCAGATAAACTCCATGTTTCTCGAACTGTGACTGGTGACATATGCTGAATGCAGCCCCTGGAGGAGGACTATCTGTTTGAGGTCCTCTCAGCATTGTGCTCTCTAGATCCACATTATAACTACCAGAAATTAAATACTGTGAAAAGTACTGCTTTTCTTTAGGTGGGATCCTGGTTACCAAACCACCAACTAAATTGTACCACCAAATTTTCCCTTGGCTCACAATACTGGGCTCATTTTTAAGTTAAACCTCGTAAGTTAGTCTTTATCTCTTAAACAACAACAACAAACAAACAAAAACAAAACAAAACAACTTCCTTCTTAAGCAGACTCAAAAAAAAAAAAAAAAAAAAAAAAAGCGGGCACTGAGCATACTCAGCACAGGAGGCAATGTTGTCTACACTTTCTTCACTGTTCCCTAGTAGCAAACTGGGCCCTCTGGAAGCTAATGAACCTTTCAGGATCCTGTGCTCCTAGAGTGCTGAGGGAGACAGCCACAGGCCTTTCAGGAAGGCACCACCAAGCCAGAGGAGGGATGGAGGGCAGAGTTGGTGGGTGGGTTAGGAGAGGTGAGCTCATGCTAAACTGAAGATACTCATGCTGGTGTCTTCCCAGGTGTCTTTTCTGTCACTGCCCAAGCACAGGCAGAGAAGAAGCCAGATGTCTGGAGAGGCAAGGAAAAACTAAATGGGTGGGTTCTGTGCTCCCCCAAGTCCCGGTGGACACATACATAACTAAAACCAAAGTCAGAACAGAACCGTCACCACCACAGCTCGTCTGCCTTCAGCTTGTCTGCCCTAATGGGCTGTTCCACCATATGATTCATAGCTCTGCTGCTCCCACTGAGCATACGAACTAATCTTATTTACCTTTACATAATTGGGTACGTGCCTCATTTGTCAGATTTGAATGAATCCTGGCTGTAATAACTGTTTTAAAGCTCCCAGTTGCATAATGAGTCACTAGCTTCAAATAAGTAAAATGGGTGAGAGTATACTAAGGAGTTGACTTGTTCTGTGCTGGTGCCCAGTTCTGTGCTGGTGTCCAGTTCTGTGCCTGGTGCCCAGTTCTCTGCCTGGTGCTCAGTTCTGTGCTGGTGCCCAGTTCTCTGCTGGTGCCCAGTTCTCTGCTGGTGCCCAGTTCTCTGCTGGTGCCCAGTTCTGTGCCTGGTGTCCAGTTCTCTGCTGGTGTCCAGTTCTCTGCTGGTGCCCAGTTCTGTGCTGGTGCCCAGTTCTGTGCTGGTGTCCAGTTCTGTGCTGCTGCCCAGTTCTGTGCTGGTGCCCAGTTCTGTGCCTGGTGTCCAGTTCTCTGCTGGTGCCCAGTTCTGTGCCTAGTGTCCAGTTCTGTGCCTGGTGTCCAGTTCTGTGCTGGTG